GTGCAAGGGATGAGCAGGAGGCTGGTGGCAGTTGAGCGGAGGCGCCGGATGGTGGATTGGGGAGGAGGTCGGAGAGGTGGGAAGCCAAGGAATATGGCTTCCGTCTTGTCCACATTCAGCTGCAGAAAGTTTGCACTCATCCAGGCCTTGATGGAGAGAGAGGAGGGAGAGTTGAGTGACAAGCAACTGGGTGGGGAGGGGTGGAGGCAGCAGGTGGTGAACTTAATGTGGGTGATGTAGTTGAGAGGGCGGAGGGAGAAATGAGGGCAAAGGAGTGTAAGGAGGGGGTAGTGGCAGGAACCATGGCGAAAGGACAAGGCGGTGTAGATAGTCTGGGTGGGGTGGAAGGGGACATGGGGGAATGGGAGGTGGGGAGGACAAGGCAGCCAAGCGGATGTTTTCAATCTTTGAGGCAAAGGAGTCTAGGACATCTTCGCACTGGGCGTTTGATGTGAGGATAGAGTGAGCTTGAGGGGGTGTCCGGAGGAGTTGATGGACGGTGGAAAACAGCATCTTTCCATTGTTGTTTGCTTCCAGGATGACTTTGGAGTAAAAGTCAGTTTTGGCCTGTGAAAGGGAGACTTGATAGGTGTGGAAATCCTCGAACCACAGCTGGCGGTGAATCATGAGGCCGGATTTCTGCATCTGCGCTCGAGTGTCCGAGTTTGTGTTTTGAGTGAGCGGTGATGACAGTTGTATCGAGAGAGCGGGTGGGTTTGGAAACAGCCCTGGATTTTAGGGAGCCAGGGAATTGAAGGATGTGGAGAGACAGTCAACAACAACAACAAGATTACATTTGTATTGCGCCTTTCACATCGGAAGGACGTCCCAAGGCGCTGGACAGTGGCATTTCAGACATTCAGCATTCAGTAGCTTGATGGCTGCATCAGGATCGTTGCGGATAGAGGGCCAGAGGGAGAGGAGGTCCAAGGAAGAGAGGGCATTTGTGAGGGACTTGGGGAAATTTTTTCCAGGGGCGGAAAAAAATGGTGGAGGGCTTATAAGAGGGGTAGGAGTCGCATGAGGAGAGGGAGATGAGGAAGTAGGCCAAGGTGGCCTTATCTGTGATAAGACAGGTCGGAAATGTCAAGGCCATGTGTGATGACGAGGTCAAGGGAGTGACCATGTTTGGGGGTCAGTGAGTTGATGTGGAGCGTCAGGTTTAGGGAGGAGAGAAGGGCAGTGAAATCCGAGGAGGTGGTGCAAAGGGAGTTTAGGTGGAGGTTGAAATCACCGATTATGAGCAGGTGTGTTCAGTGCAGAGGGACAGGGATGAGAGGAGAGAGGGGATATCAGTGAGAAAGGAGCCAAAAAGGTGGGGGGGAGTTAAACTAGGACGATTTTGAGCGAGAGAGAGGGGGGATGATAGAGGGTGAGGTGCTTTAAGGAGGAGAAACAGCCAGAGGCATAAGGGAATAGACCAAGGGAGGCTTGGAAAATGAGGACACCCTGCTGCCACGTTGGTTTGGGCGTGGGGCGGAATGAAAAGTGTAGCCAGGAGGGGAGCCTTCAACGAGGGGGACGGTCCACAGTGGGAGAGCCAGGTTTGTGTAAGCCCAAGACTATCAATGTGCTCATCCAGGATGAGATCATGGATAGTAAGGGCTTTATTGGAGTGGACATTTTGGAGTGAAATGCGGATAGGTTTGCTGTTGGGGGGTGGGGGGGTGGAGGAGAGAGTGGTATAGAGATGATTTGGGGCTGTGGGGGCAAAATTATTGTGGAGTTTGAGGAGCAGGGAGTGTTGGGGAGGTTATGGATGAGGGACTCAGAAGCAATTTTTGCCTTTCGGAGGCGGTTGGTGTGGAAAGAGTGAGCGATGGGACAGTTGGGGTGGCTGCTCTGGCACAACCAATGCCGGGAGCCACAATGGGCCTGGCGGAGGATGCCTAGGTGGAGCAGAGGGAGGTAATGGTGGGGTCCAGGAGAGAAAGAAGGCAGTGGGAGAGAAGGGCAGAGTGGGATTAGTGGAATGTGGGGCGTAGAAGCATCAACATTTTCAGAGGGCGTCACCCAAAACACGCACCAGAGACTGGGTGCGAGCGATCAATGGGGCAGCATCAGCCTGCGGGCTACGGGAGACAGTGTGGGGGTGGGGGGGTGAGAGGGGATGGCAGTCATGGCTTAAGTGCCAGAGATGGGGAGGGAAGGGAGGACAAGGTAGAAGGATAGTAAAATTTTACACTATACTTACCCTACCCTGGTGGATTTGAAAATGGCGCCAGGAAGTTTTTGTACAGGGGAGTAACAGTTACAAACCTCCAGTCCTCTGGCACCATCCATTGAGGATTGAAAGATTGTGGCCTGAGCATCTGCTATTTCCACCCTTATTTCCCTCTTTAACCTAGGATGCATCCCGTCCGGCCGGGTGACTTATCTACCTTGAGCACCGACAACCTTTTTAGTACCTCCTCTGAGTTTATTCTTATCTAATCCAATTTCTCTACTCTCTGGAACAAAATGAGAGGTCCTGGTTAGATATTTGCAATTTGGTCCTTGTGCACAAAGCTGAACTTCACATCTGTAAAATATTACTGTTTTGGGTACATGTTTTGATTACTGCTTTTTTAAAAACTTAAAAAAGAAGAAAAATTGCAGCTATGGAAAGAAACAAATAGCAATTAAAAATATGTTTCTTCCACTTCTTGCATCCTCCTGTACATTTGGTGTTACTGGTAATTATCTTGGATTCTACTGGTGAAATAAGATGTGAACATGCTCATCTAATTTCTTGTTCTTAGAATTTCTTCAGCAGATGATATTTTTATTTTTTGATCATAGGGACCTGAAGTTTGTGGGCTCACAGAATATCACTGTACTGCAAGCCTCTTGGGATCTTAGGTGATTTTATTTTCTTCCTAGCAATTGTGCCCTCCACTGCAGCCCTGACAGAGATCAGCTAACTCTTGTTGCACACAAGTATATATCATTAGAGGGACGTCTTTACTAACAGAGCCAATAGGTGAAGCTAGTATTTGAGTCCAGCTACCATCTTGGTGTCTTTGCCTTTCTCTCAGAAAAAAATTATGGGCACCATCCAATGTTAATTCAAATAGATCTGGGTATGCCAAACCTAAAATCAATTGCTTGCATTTGGATTTGTTATACTAGGTAGTTTGTTGGACAAGCAGTGTGTAAACAACTCGGAATGATGGAATTTTCCCCTTTCTTTGAAACCTTGCCAAAGTGAATTAGTTGACCTAAGTACACATGTTACAATCTGAAATGGGGGCCTTGGGTTAAAATCATCTCAGCATGTGACATGCTTTTTAAAGATTGAAAATGTGGATCAGTGAACAATAGTCAGATCAGTAACTTTAAAAGAAAAAGCCACGTATGCTTGGGGTACCTTGGGTGTCCTTTTCTTCAATCCAATTACTCTTACAGTTGCCCTACACTTCAGATGTAGAGTAGATTAAATAGCGCTTTTCCTCTGGCAATGCAAAATAGGGGTCTGTTCTCTGCACAGAGAGTTGCTGGAATGCATTTACATTTATCCCATTAGAATGCTACTTACCAAACGGTATCATTGAATTTTGGCATTGAGAAATTAAAAAGATAACACAAACTTGGGCATCTCTGATGGTACAACTGCTATATTATAGGACACACTGTAGAACTGTTCTGACAGCCAAGTATAGGTGTCCCTGATGCAGAAGCAAGGTATGCTACTACAAGTGAGTGGCTCAAAAGATGGGCCCATGGTTTTCAGACAAGTCACTTAGCAACAACAGTTCTTGGAGAGGGAGCTCAATGCTATTTGGGACAATTGTAAGAAAGGCCAACAGAAATTGAACGTTCTAATAAGTATGATACTTAAACCTTTATCCTGTCCAGCTCAATGTCTTACTTTCAGAAAGTCCAGACAGAATTTGTTTAGACTAGAGAGGGGTTTAAACCCAGGATTCAAACAATCCAGACAGATTGGGAAGCAAGAGGCCAAGGAAAGAATCCATTACTGTCTTCATCTTTCACTTTTACGATTTCATGGCTGTGATGCAAAATATGTCCTTATTATTTTTTATACTTTTAAAATGATGTTGAAGCCAAGAAAATGGGAAAGCACGAGAGTGCCTGCAGAGTGGAGGGAACCTGCCTTCTGTTCTAGCATTAATCAAGAAGAAATGTTCTTTTCAGGATAAAGCTATTGACTAACCTACTTACAGAGATAAGCTGAAAGGATACAAGGCGTTGCTTTGGAAGACTAATCAGAGTTATCAAAAATATTTATGGTCAGTTGCTCAAAAGTCCAAGGTTTCAGTTGAGTATTTCAGCTGTACAAACTTCCAGTAACTAAATTAGCTACCAACAAATTCACTTGTGAAATGTAAATGTTTCTACATTTTAAAATAAAAGTACTTGTTCTTGTGGTGGTACCTATGCAGAGGTCCTTCAAATTTATTTCTCATTGACCTAGACTAGAGGTATGGACAAAAGAGTCAGAATAATGATAGAGAATCAAAGAAGATTGACCTGACCTTTACTGTTTACTAAACTGATGATAGCTGAAGTAACCACATAAGTTGGTGGATGATGTAAATAAAATCTTCCACGCTTATCTTATAATTCACTAATAAATGAATGTTGGTTTCAAATTGTATGTTTATATATATATAATGTGAACTCTGTTTGGTTTAAACATGATGATGGGTTTCGAGAAGTGTCAGACACCCGGCTGACCAAAAAAACACACACATATAAAGTATTTACCACACAGAGTAGCCCGAATGGGCTTTTAACCAACTTGCAAATTGAAGACAAAATTACTGTTCAGTATTACTTTTACACAACCGTAAGTCGCTGAGAATTGTTACAGTTTTTTAAAAAGAGTGATTCATCAATGGATGGTCCACTTCTGTGTATTGAATATGCGCTGTCAGAATCCTAGAAACTAATCTTGATGAAACATTCATTAATTGTTTTGATACCCTTAATACCCCATCCCCAAGAAATTGTAATTTATTTCTTAAACTTACAATTAATCCTATTTTGTTAATTAGGGAAGTGCTTCTGTTCTGCAGCGGAGATCTCGCAACGAAGAATATGTGGAGGTTGGAAGACTAGCATCCTCAGATTATTTTGGTAAGCATTGCTTTCAGGTTTATTCCTAAAACTAAAATTATGCTTGAATGTAAGCCACGTAATAGAGGCTGGGAGATTTTATGAATGATGATATTCTTATTCAAGATTGCTTTGCTAACCGTAGCTTAATTTACACCCTATTATTAAATCATAGGAATATAAGAATGTACAAGAGAGGAAAATACCATGTGGCCCATCTACCTTAGCCAAAAGTTTAAAATAAAATCAAGCACCACTCTCCTAATCCTCAAATTATTTCTTTGCCATATAGCTTTCCAATTCCTTCTTGAATTTGCTGACACAATCTACCTCCCTGGTTAGTTCATTGCACAAATTCGTCATTCCCTGAATGTGCTTAAATTTAAGCTGTCCATTGCTTGAATCTGTCCCCCCTTGCTGCAAGACTGTATCAAGCTAAAAGGCTTACTCAAATGCAACAAAAAGTGGGAATGCAGAGGACTGGGAAAACTATAAAAGGCAATAAAGGGATGCAAAGAAAGTAATAAGGGGAGCAAAAAGGAGTATGAAAAAAAACATGCAAGGGATATTAAAACCAATAGTAACAGCTTTTATAAATACTTTAAAATAAAGAGAATGGTCAAGGGGAATGTGGATCCGTTAAAGACAGATGTAGGTGAGACTATAATAGAATATAAGGAAATGGCTAACTTGTAAAATAAAAACTTTGCTACTGTTTTTACAGTAGAGGATGAGGACAAAATATCAGCTGTACAGGAGAACCTAAAAATAAGCCAAAAAGAAATGCTTAATAAAATTAATATAAATAAAACAAATGGTAATGGAGAAAATAATGAAACTCAAGATAGACAAATCTCCAGGTCCTGATGGTTTCCACCCCAGGGTGTTAAAGGAAATAGGAAAGGAAATTGCAGATGCATTCGTCATAATTTTCCAAAGCTCACTAGATTCAGGAATGGTGCCCTTAGATTGGAAAATTGCAAATGTCACCCCTTTATTTAATAAGGGAGAGAGAAACCAGGAAACTACAGACCTGTCAGCTTAACATCAGTTGTAGGGAAAATACCGGAATCCATCATCAGGGAGACTGAGCACTTGGACGGATGTGAGCTAGTCAAAGAGAGTTAGCATGGGTTTGTGAAGGGTAGGTCGTGCCTGACTAATCTAGTTAATTTTTTTGAGTGGTTAAGAGGGTATCTATGGATGTTGTTTATATGGATTTTCAGAAGATATTTGATAAGGTTCCACACAAAAGATTATTAGCGAAAATGGAACACATGGAGTCGGAGGTAACCTTGTGACGTGGCTTGGTAATTGGTTGGGAGGCAGAAAATGGAGAGTAGGGATAAAGGGAACGTTCTCTGATTGGTGGTTCGTGACAAATGGTGTCCCCCAGGGATCTGTACTGGGACCCCAGCTATTTGCCATATATATAAATAATTTGGATGAAGGAATAGAAAGTTTTATAGCCAAGTTTGCAGACAACACTAAGATAGAAGGCTCAGTACGTTGTGTAGATGGGAGTAGGAATTTACAAAGGAACTTAGACAGTGAGTGGGCAAAGCTGTGGCAGATGGAGTTCAATGTAGGGAAGTGTTAGATCATCCAATATGGACCGAAAAAAGATAAAGCAGAATATTTTCTTAATGGGGAAAAATTAAGAACTGTGGAGGAGCAAAGAGATTTGAGTGTCCATATCCACAAATCATTAAAAACTAGTTCCCAGGTGCAAAACGTAATCAAAAAGATGAATGAAATGTTGGCCTTTATCTCAAGGGGCCTGGAATACAAAGGGGAAGAAATGTTGCTTCAGCTGTATAGAGCGTTAGTCAGGCCCCATCTAGAGACTGCATTCAGTTTTGGGCACCACACCTCAGAAAAGATATATTGGCCCTGGAGGGGGTGCAGCGTAGGTTCACCAGAATGTTACCAGCCCAAAAGGGTTAAGTTACAAGGAAAGGCTGCGTAAACTTGGATTGTATTCTCTTGAGTTTAGAAGGTTGAGGGGTAATTTGATTGAGGTATTTAAGATGATAAAGGGATTTGATTGGGTAGATACAGAGAAGCTATTTCCTCTGGTGAGGCAATCCAAAACAAGGGGGCATAGTCTTAAAATTAGAACCAGGCCATCTAAGAGTGAAATCAAGAAGCTTTTTTTACACTCAAAGTGTAGTAGAAATCTGGAATTCTCTTCCCAAAAGGCCGTGGATGCTGGATCCATCCACACCTTGAGGTTGATAGGTTTTGGGTAGGACAGGGTATTGAAGGATATGGGGAGAAAGCGGGAAATTGGAATTGAAAGGATTAGTTGAGGTACAGATCAGCCATGATTTAATCAACGGCTGCCTCTTGTTCCTATGTTCCTAAGAATTTGTGACTATTGAGCATTGTTAGAGTTCAGTTTATGCATACCTTTACAATCCTGAATACTTCAATAAAATTCTCCTAAATCTTCTCTAGTGTTAAAATTCTCAATTGCTTCAGCCTCCTCTAAGGCACCTCATAACAAGCGAATGTCAAAACCTCCTTATGGGTGCAGACTTCTGACTCCTGTATTAGTTCAGTGAGTGTATTCAGTAAGTAACCAAACCACAGTCAGTGAGTGTCACCAGATAATTTCTAAACCATTCACAGCCAAACTTGACCCTGTTGTTCCCCATCATTGACAGACATGCACCTTCAACCAAGGGTTGAATAATTAGACAGCAATCAATAACTTCTCCCATCAAATATAATAATTATAATAAACTTTGCATTTGATATAGTGCTTTATCACATCTTCGACATGTCTCAAAGCGCTTCACAGAATTGACTGTATATTTTGTGGGCGAAACGCGGCAGCGAATTGCGCACAGCAGTGTCCACAAACAGTTGTGGATTGAGTGACCAAATTCATTGGTTTCAGGGGAGGTCAGAGTATTATCAGAATGGAATCATTTACATCCCAACAGAACAAACTAACAGAAAAACAAGACTGATCCTATTTACCAAAGCAGGAGAGGATCTGCTCAGCTACAAGATATTAAATATTAAAGAATTAAATATCGGATATTAAAACCAGTTGTTGAAACTTTACTACCATCCTGGTTCAGACCAGGCAACAGCACAAACCAAGAATTAAACCTGTTATTTTCCCCTAGTCTGTATGATAGAGTATAACTGCAGATAATGCATTCAATTAATGGGTCATGAATGGGACCAACAATTGTTCAGCTGCTTTACTTTATTCCCTTCAACAATACCAGCTTGTTCTCTCCTTTTGATAGCTGATTGCAAGTGCATTTATTTAGTAATGGAATAAAAACTCACTTAGGTCAATTTTTTCCAGGACTTGGAGTAAAATATTAAGTAAGCAAATTTCCAACTTGCAAAAGACATTCAGAACACAACATCACTGAACTAAATAAAAGTTCCAAATCCTTAACCTTCTATAGAATCTGTTTGTTGAGCTAAATCAGGAACTATTGTAATCTGTTTACAGTTGATGGTAGATATGCAGAAAACGTATGATATTACTGTAAGTTTAATAAGTAACATTAAGTAAATAGCAGACTGGGAAAATCAGTAACACAAATGTTGGGTGTGTTTATTAATATGTCCTGTGAGCACAGATTAAACATTTTTGTTTTGCTCCATGTTTAAACTTCAGAAATGGCGAGGCCATAGGGTGTTTGTTGTATCAGGTATTCTTTGTTTCTCTTTTAAAACCAAGACTCTTGAGTTAAGACATAAGATAAGAATTTAAACTATAGTTTGTGCACTTTTATTCCTCTTCAGGTGAAATTGCCCTGCTGCTGAATCGGCCACGAGCTGCGACAGTGGTTGCACGTGGTCCGTTGAAATGTGTGAAGCTCGACCGGCCACGCTTTGAACGAGTTCTTGGTCCCTGCTCAGAAATTCTCAAGAGGAACATCCAACGATATAACAGTTTCATTTCTCTAACTGTTTGAAATTTTGGTTTGGATCACTGCCTTTGTGCTGCCTTGTGCACTTAAATTGATCTGTGTTGTTGCGTAGCTTTATGGAAATGAGTTGCGTATTACACGTGCGTTTATGTAAGTAACATCAGAAGCACTGGAAACAGATTTCTAACCAGTAATGGAAAAACCATCAGAAACAGGTAGTCCAAGTGTAGGAAGGGCTATATGTTGAATGACTAATAAAAAGTTGTGTATTTTGTCGGTGACGTATAAGAGGATTTCAGTTGATCATTTAATCTCCAATGTAGGAAAATGCAACATTTAATCAGAATTACTTGTAGAGTGCCATTCAATTTGCTAAATACATTTAGAATACATCTTGTTTTTTCTATTCACAATTGCTTTATCGATCACCTTTCTCTATTATAGCGTCAAGTAATTTCAAGTTGTAACCTGTTAGAACTAATAGATTTTAATTATTTCTTCTCAATTACCAGTCGGTTTTATCACCAACCCAGTGAAGCCCTATTTACCTGAATGATCAATTTGGATAACACACTTCCAGAATATATTTATTATACCAATTATATTTACTGCAAAACATTTCCAAAACCAGCAAAACCTGCAACAACATTGGCAATTGTCTAAAAAAAATCTGATTAATGGGACATACTTCAAACTTATGGCGGAGTGGCTTTTTTCCTCTCTTTTGGTAGATTTAGCAACCTTGGGTCAAGTCTTATTTATTCTTCAAACATGCATCCTTCTTTCAAGCTTACTCAACCTAAAACCTTAGACTTGTTATGGGGACATTTAAGGTGTGGTTGGTATTTATTTGTGTGCACTCAAGTATAATTGTTGATGTCTGAAGTGGGGGGTCCTCAGTCAGCTCAACTTTGCAATGCAATCTGGATGAGTTATAGCCTCCTGCAGCTGTTTCTGAGGGCTTATGCATCACTGTATTTGATATGTAGAAAGGGATCTTAGTACCCTGAAGTCTGTGATAAAAGCAAGCCCAAACAAATTTTCATAATAAAACTGTCTGATAATTTATGTATTCTTATTTTATCCGATCTTATTTATTCAAAAGATTTTTATTTTATTCAGCTTTAGTTTTGATGTTCGTTGCCCCCCCTCCTATCAAGATTTGTTTAATTTCAGTCTGACTCACACAAGTAAATTGCACAACATTAGCTTTCTTTGCTAAATTACATATTCTGATATTTTGGAGCATCACTAATAGTTTAAAAAGAACTGCTGTATTCTTAAAATAATGTTGTATTTTCTATCGTCCTACACAATGCATTTGCTTTCCCAAAGCCAAATAAAAAAGCACCTTCTCGTCTAGTTGATTCATGTATTTCTGGTTTTCTTATCTGGAAAAAATGCTGCAATTTCAAGTCATTAATTACACACTTTTATGAATTCCCTGGAATATATTTGGCGTACTTATGCATATCCACATGACAATATAGTCATAATGGCGTACCTATCAGCTAAAACATGGACTGAATCTGTCATACAGCATTAGATGGATGTAAACAGCTCAGGGGTGCCTTTCTGTATTTACGTCTATAAAACTTATGGAGACGAGGTACTGTATTCACAAATGTACACATTTGTGAAAATAGATGGATGGTTGGCAACATCTTCCATACAATATTAACGTGTTCTTTTTCATTTATGATAAAGCTGATTTTCAGATCAACGTCCTTCGGATTCAGACAGAATTCTGTGTGCCCATTTCCATTCAGTCTTATGGATGAAATTCCTCCTTTAGGATAACACAATGTACAATCCTGATAGAAGTATAAAAAACTTATTAGTGCTTGTGCTTATTTTTGTCCTGGCAAATGGCATTGCATTCTAAATGGAGTAATCCTCTGAACATCAATAAAATTACTTGGTGAAGTAGTGAGTCTGCTGATCAGTTAAAGTGCATTGTCCAATTATAAATCACACCACCAAACTTGGTAAACTTATTGATTACTGATCAGCCATGATCTTATTAAGTGGTGGGGCAGGCTCGAGGGGCTGAATGGCCTACTCCTGCTGCTATTTCTTATACGTTCTTACAAGAATCATAGGTTCTTTAATATATTTGGCACCAAATTAACCGTCGTAGTCTATCAGAAAGCTGCCATGCAAAGATGTTATCCCTAGTCTATATTGAATTTATAGGAACAAGATTTTGGTGGGTTCAGTGGCAAAAACAAAACTGGATTTGCTGAAATTTCAAATGATGGCCACATTTATCTTGTATTCCTCCATTTTGACAGTAACTGCATTGTAATACAAATAATCAAAAATAACTTTAATTTGCAGGTGGTGAGAACTTTGGAAATACTGTTGCATCGTTTTGATTTTACACTTCATTTTGTTTAATTTGTGCATCTCATAATGTAAAACCCTTTTGAGAAATGTTTCTGTTGTGGTTTTGGGCTCCAAGCTTATGAATTATAAATATTCTTTCTCTGTTTGTATTTCTCTAAGTTTACTTAATGCTCGACATTAAAAATGTACTGTAAGTGAATTTTTCAGATCCTATCTGAAAGCTGACGTGCATGTTTTGAGAACTAAAGTCCTTTACCTACTAAAACTAGTTATTAAATACTGAATTCCTTAAGTTTTTTTAAAGTTTGCGCTGCCATAATACAATGACAGAATCCGAGAAATACACACTATGAATAAAACATTGTGTTCACCCTATTCTGTGAAAAATATATATGTAGCCAATGTTTGGATTCATTTTGAAGGAAAGCACAATCCCTCTCCTTATATATTTTTATGGAAAGATTAAATGCACCTTGTTTTGTTCAGATTTAGTAGTTGTAATGCTGTAATGTTGGCTGAAATCTACAACATACAAACTAAATGTGTGATTGATCAAACAAAACCTATAATGCACTGAGTTTCAATTGAGGTGTATTTTGTGCAGGTTTCAATATAGGCTTTATATCTCCTCTCCCTCCAGGCATGCACAAAAAGGAGGTGAGCTCAGGCTTCAGCCTTCCTATTGTTATGCTTTACCAGGGTCACAATGACATTTCTTTGTCCTGTGGCCTGAGATTTATTCTTTGTTTTACAGAGATCAAGTGAAACGATCACTAAAAGCACAGTCTGCAATGCTCATTTTGAGAGAATATATGTGTATACAGATTGTCATTGTACAGTTATTTGTTTTTGTTTTAAGCATCTGTTTGGTTGCTTGGTTATTATTTAAGAACGTTCCTATATATGCTTCTTGTTCTCTCGTCCTCCAAAATACAGAGAAAGTGTGTGTGTGTGGTGGGGGCGGAGGACTCAGGAGGAAATGTTTTAATGATTTTGTTACGTTTTATTTCCTAGATGCTTATAAATCTTGACACAAAATTGCACGTGTTTGCTCATAAAGTTCGGATCCAGATTAAATGACTGCTCCACACTGAATCTAATCTTCAGAGATTTAAGTACCTTAATTCTATTCTTTTGTGTGTACATTTTCAGTCAGGATTCAGTTGTAGTTGGAACACTTGCAAACAGATTTTGTTTTAGATTAAGAGTATATTATTCTAACCTGAAAAGTCTCAGTAAAAAGAAGCGTTCTGCATAATGAGATTCAAGTACTTAATAATTACAATAGTGGGTTCTGTACTTGAGATTAGTGTACACCCAGTGCTATGGCAACCATGTTTCTCTAATGCACACATGCTGTGCGGTCTTTTGCTGGTACTTGATCATCATTCTGCAGTCTTTAGACCTCCCCCCTCAGGTATTTGAGGGAATAGTATGCGCCTTAGAGTTAATTATTACTGTCACAAAATGTGTTTGGGCATCTGGTATTAAATTAGTTTGATCTGAGGAGTGACCTTTGATTTAATGCACATATCTGCTGGTCAACCAAAGCACATTTGCATTTGCTTCTGCAGTAAAGCAGATCGAAACTCACTGACCCTTTTTTTGCCTGTCCTTTTTCATTGCATTGGCATAAGAAGGCACGTCTTCTTCGAGTTTTTGTTCCTTACTGGTGTATGTGTCATTTCCCACTGTGTTTGGCACAATGTGTTGAGATACAGTTTCAGTTTGCATTGTCCATTTACAATGCTTGAGCATTTCTGATTCAGTTTGCAAGCCCACGTGCTATGAATTTAAGCTACCAATGTTGTTAGATTACAATTTAATTGAAATCTAAATGGTTGGGCAATTTTCACTGTGCAACATTTGATCTACATCAGGCACTTGTTTAGTTTATGATAATTAATACAGTATAATAAAATTTGAGAAAATCAGACAAAAAAAAATCACAGGTTTGATCCACTCTACTTGTCTCAGCCCAGGCACCAGTTGTAATATTGTAACTGGCATCAGCTTCACTGGGCTATTGAAATAAAAAGTCAGCCACAGTTTCCATTCCTGATTATTATTCAGTGATCCACTCACTAGAAAGGAATATACGTGGACATTTGGTGAGAACAAGATTGGGATCAGCTGTAAACCTTACATGAAGAATAACCACTTGAGTGAGACACTGGAAAGTTGCCAGTACCCATAGACCAGATTGATTGCATTCTGAAAAAACAAATCCACTGGACCACCTGTGGTTGCTTGATCTTGGCAATCAATTGCTGATATTTCTTTGTTTTACTCTATAAAAGGAATGACCTTTAATTTTTAAATATCTTTATTTGTACTTGGAAAAAATACACAAGTTTGTGGCTTCAAGCAGGATGTGAATAGGCTTGGAACTGTGCAATGACAGTTCTTGTATATATCTTTTCCAAATCCTATATGATGCTTAAACAAAAGTGGAGTCAGCAATTGTGGTCTCTATTCTTTTCTCTGGATGTGCCTTTTTATTGCACAAATGGTTTGCTTTGGAATTACTATAATTTTATTTTAAATCCTTTTAAAATTTAAATCTTGATTAATGTGATTTAATTGAAAGATCCTTGTTTGGACAGTACATTTAATTCAATATTTTTTACCTAGAGTAAACTTTGCAATTGTTTCAATGACACACCCATCCCTGAGCAAGCACAAAGTACACGTTTTGTTCAGTTTATAGTTCAATGTGCTGCATATATTGTTCCATTGTTGTTTCAGCCAGTCAGATTGAAAACTGAAAACAGTTCCGCTCGTTTTAAAAGTGCTGATGTAATTATACATTTCCTGTCACACATGAGGAAAGGGTGAAGTCATTCAAGCAGCATGATAAGGTTATAAATTCTCCCAGCAGGTAACTCATTCACACTATTTATGAATAGATATTAATAAAAGGTTAATCTGTGCT